ACCCATACTAGTGAAAGAAACTGATATGAAAACACAGACAGACTAATGCATCTATAAACTAATTCTGTCATAAACTAATTCTGACAAATTTGTATCTAATTGCCTAGAGTAAAAGACAAAAATAAACACTTTCCAATACAGACTCTAGGAGGCTCACACTCATGAAATAATAAGAAAATATGACTTGAAGTCAGTGCAAATCAGACAAAAACTCAATCAAATATAAGCCTCAAGCAGAATTCAAAGTCAACAAGGAGTGACTGCACAATGGTCTTGTAACACTGCATGTAACACTTACACTTGTAACACTGTATGTTCTTCTCCATGTAAGAAGGTTATTAAGATAAGTCAAATTTCTGTTCTGTTTGTTTTTACTTCCTGAAGTACAAATATTATATGATGAACTTTATTTTTTCTAACACTTTCATATGTTAATGATTTCTCTTCTTTTCTCATTATTTTTTCTAGATTTCAAAAATCAATTCCAAACAGGCTTAAAAATGACAGAAAGCTGGGCTCTCCCTGGTGGTGCAGAGGGTTAAAGAACAGCACTAACAAGCTAAAGCCACTTCAGCATGAGCTTGATCCCTACCCTGGAGGTGAGCCACATGGTGCAGCAGACCTCTCCTGTCCTCCGCAGTGTTATTTCAGTAGATTTGCCTACTCTGCTTCCCACTCTGTCCTTAGTGAATCCTCTCACCGACCTGCATCTCTGGCCTGAGCCCCAGTTTTGTATGCATAAAAAAATAAATCTTAAAAAAAAATGACAGAAAGCTGAATGACTAAATTGCATAATATTTACTGATACTGCCATATCACCCAGTGGCTCCAAGGGTTATAGTTATTACTACAATACACTTGATCAACAAAAAAACTGAAACTGCAATGATCCTCTTCTACCAAATGAAAATAACTTAAGATTAAACAACTTATAAATTTCCTTTCCAAAACACATTATTACTGCCCTACAATTACCTTCAGTAGAAACTTCTGAGTGATGAATAAAATACCTGATTAAAATATAATTAATTATACTAATAAAAGCCAGATTTTCAAAGCTGAAATGGAAAAAATATATATCTTTTACGATAGCAGTCACTATATAAATACTGACTAAATAAAACTTTTTTACAACCGACCTACTTTTAAGGACAAGCAAGAAAATCAGCATGATCTTAAAAGTTCACTGAATTTTTATCTGAGTGCATATGATATTACATCGTGGCATAAATATAAGTTTTAGAATCAGTCTGCCTGTGTTCAAATAAAAACCCTACCATCTATTAGTTTCAAGAGTTTAAATTGTTCAGCCTTAATATTTTAAATCTGCTCTCCCTCAGCAAATTTACCAAAGCAAGATTTGTGGAATGTTGGATTCTAGCATCTTGTGTAGGATAAGTATGGAAAAAATTATTAGAGCTCATCCATTTTACATAAGGTACTGACAAGACTGCCAAATAGCACCAGCTATGTGCACACTCTGTTTAAGCCTGATTCTGTAGCTTTTCTACTGATTCTGTAAGCTGCCAATAACTTTTCAATTAATTGTTCTTTTAGTAGCTTGGAATCTTAAACTGCACATACTAGTCAAATGAGAGGAACTTCTAAAGGGTACAACCCAAATGCTGATTCAGAGACTTAACATACCATTTTTCATCTGCATAGTATGACACAGTTTTCAGCATACTTTCGCATACTTTCAGCATACTTGTTACATACATCCCTTGACCCCTGTCATAACCCCAACTATAGGTAGGAAATGTCTGATGTGTTAAACCCCAAACATAGGTACAACATCCCAATTAGAAACCACGTAAGTTCAAAAGTCATGCTTTTATCACTATGGCATATGATTTAGGTACAATAAATTTCAATTGTTATTTACTTAAATTCAACATAAAGGAACGTAAATGATAAGTTAGTGTCATAAAATACTAGACAGACAAGTTACCTTGGAGGTTTTACTGTAAAAATTCTTCACTTGATAAGTGAGGAAATACTACCCTGGAAAATTAAGTGACTCAGCTGACCATCAACCTGAGGCATTCAGCAAGGGAGGAGAGAGAGGGATTCAAATGGGAAAGAGAAGGAAGAACACATAAATACAGAGAGAGGGGGAGAGAACGAAATTTGGAAGACTCACCTGAGATAATAATCTATCCTGAGTGTTAATAATGTAAATTTATGGTATAATATTCAGATCCCATTGGAGAGAATTTTAGTAATTAGAACAAAAATTTTTATCTCTAAAGTGGTCATAAATGGTTGAAGTTCATGGAAGGAGATGAACAGGGTTCAAGGCTCTTAATCTCTCTAAGGAATCTGTTCTGTAACTGTCATGCCACTGAGTTCTGTCTTTGGCCCTGCCGTAACCCTATGACACTCACTCTAAACATGTCTAGGCTGAGCAATAATCCCTGTTAGCAATTCAGAGAGAGTTCTTTACCATTCCCACTCCCAGCTGGAGTCAAAATTCAACCTGTATGACTCTGTGTCCCTATATCCTTGTATTTCTGGAATCCCAGCAGGCCAGCAGTTTCTCCTAAAATTCCCAGAAGCAACAAGGAGTGTAGATACCAACACCTTCCCGACCCTTTATGTGGAATAACAGAGAATGAGAAGGTCCTCTTATCAGAGGATGACAAGTAGTGGGTAGGACCCTGTTCCAAGATGCAGTCCCTCAAAGTCCCAAAACACCCAATCACTATATGTAATCATTTACAAATCCTACTTTAGTAGATGTGTTGCCATTCTTCTTGAAATTGGACCTCATAATATCTCCTCTGTGCCTGCTAGAATAGTAGTTATATTTGATTTACTCCAGTCAATTTCCTGTCTTGATTCTCCTTTTCTCTTTTGCATCCCAAGCATTATAAAGTAACAAGGACTGAAGCTTAGACACTGTCTGTATGGGTTACATATTGCCTGTCGAGCTCCACAGATAGTTCTACCTTTGAAACTGGCATATAAAGTGCAAGAAGAATTATTCTTAAAGAATCTATCATTCTGAAGTAGACTCAATTTTTAGGATACACACAAAATTATGACAGCTTCCATTTCCGTGGTAGAGAGAAAATAGCCCATGAGGGTTTTGTTTTGGTAAAAGGCCTGGCAGATGACACTGACAAATGCTGCAATTTAAAACAAGTTTAGTTCTTTTTTTTCTACTGTTTGAGTGACATCAGAATGGCAAAAGCAAACTTTAGTTCATTTTTCTCATCCCAGCAGGGTAACAGTTCCCCAGGAAAGGAATTATCATCATGAATCAACTGTAAAATACACAGCTATTTTAACTGATTGAAATAAATAGCATTCAGGCTGAAATGGGAGGTCACCCTGCATACTTGAAATGGAAGAATACAGATGAGGAGAAAGCTGAGTGAGACCCCCCAAAGCATTTTAAAAGATTCATGGCAAAGAACAGATAAATAAGGCCCTCCCTGGTGGTGCAGCGGGTTAAAGCACTGCACTAAGATGCTTAAGCCACTTCCCGCATGAGTTCGATCCCCGCCTGCCCCTGAGGAGACCACATGGCGTGGCAGACCTCTCCTG